TTCCTTTCTTTTCATCTACTAATTTTAAAAACTCAGTCATTGTTAGCAAGGTGGTTGAAAACCATCTATTTGCTTGAGGTTGAAGTGATTGTGCTTGCTACGGATTAAAAGATGCTAAATATAGTTGAAATAATAAAGATCCGTAAGTCCAATTGTTGTATAATGCTTGTGGTGGTGGTGAAACAAATGATGTTTGTGATAAAGCCTGTAGTGGTGAAAAGAATGATGTTTGTGGTAAAGCTTGTAGTGATAAAGCTTGTGGTGATAAAGCTTGTGGTAATAAAGCTTGTAGTAATAAAGCTTGTGGTAATAGAACTAATGGAGCTTGCAATAGTGATAACGAAGACACTGGAGTTTGTGATAATGGAGCTTGCAATAGTGATAACAAAGACACTGGAGTTTGTGATAATGGTTCTTGTAAAGAAAATATTAGAGTTTGTGATAATGGTTCTTGTAAAATAGAGGTGCGTGATTTTTTAAACATCTTGAAATGAAAAAAAGAGGATGCATCAGGAGATCTTTGATCGTAGCCAATCCTTTATTCTAAATATATACATACATGTAAATAATACTTAAAAATTGTAATATGTATCGTAATTTATTTAATAATAGATTTACTATGTCAGATGCCCATATTGAAAGCATCATAAAGGTAATTTCTATATATAAATCTTTACTGCTTTCTTTGTTTAGGCAAGATCAGTTGTATATATTACAATGATGCTCTTGTCGAATTTCTAGCATATTTTTAGCAATTGCTTGATCATGTACAGATAAGGATGAAATATATGGAACCTTAAAAATTCATTATTTGCACAAAATTAACAATAGGTTGTGCAACATGCATAAAAAATAAAATAACATTTTACATATATATAAAAAATATTTGCACATCATAATTGTGCAGAATTTTTAAAACTGACCTTATTACTATTTTTGTAGTTGGCTAAGAATTCTTTTTCTTTATTAGCATTAGTACTTAAATCTGCATCCTAAATTATTTTGTGATTGTATTTACGTAATTATTATATATTATGTCCATATTTAGTAACAAATTATATTTACTGAGTTTTTTTGTTTTATTTGAGTTGACTTCACGATTGTTATATAAATCTTAACATCAGTATTTTTTTCAGCTAGCTTTATAGATTCAGCTTTAAATTTAATAAAATCCTATACATCTGCTAATTGAGTACCAGCATCGGCCTCTCTTTGTGTCTTAAATGCTATGCTATAATCAGTTGGTACAAGTATATCATCTTTTGTAAGCATAACAATTTTATCATGAATTGATGAAAGAAATTCATCGATAGCTGACACTGATTCTTTAAACCATTTTGCTAATAATGAAGATCCTTCCGCTGTTTTTACAATTAGTTTGTAACTTATTTCAAATTTGTCATTATCATCGCTACTAATTAGTTCATTTTCACTGGATGCTATTGCTGATGTAGATGGAGAAGGTGGTTGATTAATTTCCCTAAAGAAAAAAAATAATAATAAATGTAAATAATTATATATATTAGCATACGGGCTGTTCAATAGAAAAAAAGAGAAAACCCTTATAAATATGGTCAATTTGACTAGATTCAAAAAGGAGATTTTCCCTTTTCTATTAAACAGCGCCTATATAATATCAGAATAAATTACATTAGTATCGGTTATCATATCCGTTGCTATATTTGTTAATATGTTATTAGAATTAGTCATAATATCTGTTGCCATATTTGTTGATTGTTCATTGGTATTATCTGTTGCCGTATTTGTTGATGGGTTTTTAGTTATCGTGGAATTTAACTTGAGCAAAATACTATGACATCGGCTACACAAAAAAAACTTGAAAGATTTTCTTAAATTGATTTAATAATTATGTTCCATGACCTTTTATAGATATATTCGAATTTTGGTGCTGCCCAAGTAGGTTTATAAGTTCACGGGTATGCCTGTTTAACTTTGCTGGTCCTGTTTTTCTTATTTGGCACCAATTTTTTACAATTGCAGGTATATTGGTGCAAATATGTCGCACAATATAAGCATTTGCGGCATCCAAAACATGTTCCACACTGATATTTGAGTTTTGTATTTTTAGCATCTGCCATTAGGCATTGACTAATTTCGAAAGAAGTGAAAAATTTTATTATTTTTTACAATTTTTTTATATTTATATTTTAATTTTGGATTTCTGATTTCCAGATTTCTGGATTTTCAGTGATGTGTGATGTACGAAATTTGATGATTACAGTAATTTGAAAAGCACTGTAATTCACAAACAAGTTCATTTCACCGACAGTTTTTTTATAAATTGCACTAATCTTAACTCTAATTCTGAATCTGATGCCCTAACGACAATGACCTTATCTACCTTTCCTCTTACTAACCGATCTACCTCTTCTCCTTTTAACCAATTTATCTTCCACCTCACTTTCATCTTTGCTACTAGTAGCTCCTAAGCTACTAGAGCTTGAGGCTGATGTTGATCTTGCTCTTCCTTTCCCTTACTAAATACTGCTGCGACTGTTTGAGCTACTGCTTGCGCAATGAAACTCATATCCACTAAATAATAGATTATTGTTGTGTTAATGATATATTAAAGTTACCACCTTTTATAAACCTTACATTTT